CTCTGTCATTGTATTTTAAAACCACAAGGAATTCCCTGTGTCATCAGCAATGACCACTTTATTGCTGGTGAATTAGGAAGTGAGCAGGGCTAAAGGTACATTTGAATTCCACAGACTCATTTATTTAGTGCATCTTTCAATGGGGGAGATCACCTGGTTAGCTCATGGATTTGGAGCGATGCAGAAAAGAAAAACAGGCTCTTGAGTTTCAACTTACCTGTGATACTGGATTATGATACTTTCTGTTCTTTCCATTGCAGTGGAGCAAATTAAGGTTGATTACCAGAAAACAAACAAACAAACAAACAAATAAATAAATAAATAAAGGACTGAGCTAGTCTGCTTAGTCATTTATGTTGTGCAGTTATGTCTATTCCTCTGCTTGTTTCAATCAGAAATCCAAACCCAAAACAAAACATCTACATTTTTTCAAGAAGTATTACACTTCCTGATATACAGTAGATTTAATATTTCTCTGTATAAAGATCAAAATTCTCAATTTAAAAATAGTTCTATTTATTTGTGTGTGTGTGTGTGTGTATGAGCCTTTTAAAATGGATCATTCCAACTTGAAATTAATCATTTTATTTATGTCTTAAAAAACGTATTTGTTCAACCTGGAAAACCATATAGCTCACCTTTCCCCACCGAAATCTTTTATTGTTATTTTTTTTATGTCATTGATTAGTTTTAATGAATCGGAAATTTTAGAAAACTGAAATCTATCTGTTTATTTTTGCTGTTGTGCAACTTATCCTATGGAATATATCCTGAATACCATCAGATACATTAATTCAATCTCAGTCTAAAAAGTGAACAAACTTCATTAAAACAGTACAATTCCTTTTGCAAATATTAAAGGAGAAAAGAACAGCAATTTGAAATCATTCATTTCTCTCTTGCTTAATGAATTATTGATTTGTACTTTACTTTTGAATGATAGTGCTCTGATGTGATAAACATTGATTTGAATCTTTATACAAATATTGTATATCATCAGCAGATTATGGCAACAGAATGATACATAACAAGATAGACCAGAAGGGATGTAATAATACAAAAATCATTATGAGATGCCATGACTGTGTACTGTGTGTGTGTGATGGGGGTGTATATGTAAAGCAGAAAATGGAAATAAAAGTAATACATCCAGGGGGATGATAACAATGAAGAATTATAGAAAGTTTACATTTGCATTAACACTGAACAGAGAACCTTGAAAATGAAAAATAATTACTTTCTGCTACTAGTAATTCTTCTAAGCTGACATTTCTTGCAACCAGAAGTGCAGAGCTGTCACAGGTTTAGAGAGCTCTCTTACACCCTGCTCATGTTCAGGAGCTTTAACTTCATGCACAGCTATTCACACCAATAAGAACTACATAGTCAAAAGACAAAAGAAAAGTGCTGAGAGCAGTAAACACATAGATAATCCTGTCCACCAAACGATTTTGCATTTCCTTTATGCACCATTTATTTCAGACAAAAAAGCTGCTGAGAGATTTACGTCAAAGTGATTTCCACAGCTCAGCTGCTCAAGGCTGGGGAGATGATTGAAGCGCTGAGCTACACTTTCCTGAGGACCTGTGTCTACCCCTCTACTTCCATGCCTGGTAGTGGAACATTACATGTGGTCTCTCTCAGACAAGTTCATTTCTGAGATCCGTTGTCTGTATTTTGGCGGGCTGGACAAGGGGCAAAGGCCCCTAGGTACAGAGAGAGAGAAGGGAAGAATGACTCTTTTTTCCTTTGGACAGCAGTAGTTGTCCTTCTTTTGGGCTACGTGCACTGGGCAGGCTGTGAAGGTCTCCACTATCTTCCTCCTGAGCCCACTGTATAGTGGGGAGCACCCCTTCAACATTCATGAGGCAATACCCATATATTTGACAACACAAAACAAATCATACATATCCAGCTCTAAAATATTCGTATTTGTCATGAAAAATCCTCAAAGGAATATGGTTGCACTGGGACAAAAACCACTCATGCTATCTCATATAGTCAAAGTGAATTAAACTTGCAACTAATGAACTATAACTATTATCCACCAGGGCTACGTTAAGATTTTGCCTAGATGGCTACAAAGGATTTGGAACAAATATTACCATGCAGGGACTAACTAGGACCAATATATGTTCAGATCAGCAGAAACAATGTGGGGCCAGGGAGAAATGGAAGCTGGGCACCCTCCCTAACATCACCAATAGCAAGCCCAACACAGTGGAGAGGGAGCTGCCGTTTGTCCTGGTGTAGGCTAACAGCAGGATATGACCCCTTAGATTACAAAATACATCAGTATTCATGTGAGCATCACTACATAGGCAACATTGGTCTGCATACTACAAAACCCTGGCTCAATGATGTACCTGCAGATATATTAGGTTAATCATGCTAGGCAAGGTATATATACAAGGATATTAATGCAAATTTGTATAGCACTCCGTATCACTTTTTTTTTTTTCTTTTTTGTAAACACATGCTTTGTGAATGGCCCTGCTCTTCTCAAGTGTCTCTCTAGACTTAATAGTCTCTCAGGAATTGTTTTAAATGAGATGCCCCTGAAAATTTTGCTTGAGACTGTTTCAAAGGAGTAGGTGGTTTACTCAGGGTTGAAAGCTTATCTTATCCTACTTTCACTAGAATCAGGTATCATATTACTATCACTCAATAAAAATGAGTTCTCTATTCCCAGGGAATATTTCTAGTATTAATTCAGAGCATTACCATTTTTTCATATTCTTTTTTTTTTTCTTCTTTTTTTTTTTTTTTTTCCCCTGTGGTTACTAATATAAAGACCTAAACAGACCATTTAAAACTTATTAGCAAGTACACAACAACTAAATAAGACATAATTTTTTTATTATTTTTTATTTTATTTTTTTTCCCTTTACACATATTTAAGTGTTTTGGAATACGGTGTATAATGTACACAGCTCTGATTGTTCAAAGGTAGATCAACATCCTGCACCAACAGTCTTACATGTATGTATGGAGTAGTAAAGTGAACCTTCAGTTTACTGGGGAAAAAAATAGAACTGCAGGCTGCACACTTGTAATCATTATGGCATTTGCATTATGACATATTAAAAATTGGTATTCTAGGTTACGGACAGTGCTATAAAGCTGGTATTCTACACTGTGTAATGCAAGCTCATTTAAAATGTACTCTTCCACGACATGATGAGAACACAAATTATAATTAGGAAAGTAACCCAAGCAGAAAATTAGTCTGGAAAACTAGTCTGAGTGTGCTCCTGGAGACAAAGCGATCCTGTGTCTTAACTTTAATGTCTTGGTATTGGGAGAGATTGATATAGAAGATAAAGACAAGGACACATAAGGCTTTCTGACAGAAAGAGAAAAAGAAAAAAAGCTTTGCAAGTATGTGCACAGGTCAAATCTGTAGTGTTCAGGAAATGCAAATGTGCACACAGAGAAGCAGCACCAGATCTTACCTTTGCAGTTACTCGCAGCATGGGCTGTAACTGCTCCAATATACAGGTCTATACCTGGATTTTTGTTCTCACAGTGCTCATCAGAGGTAAAAATCTACATTTATTGGCACAAATCAAGGTCTCTCAAATGCTACTCTGAAACCAGAGCCCACTTGTAGAAGCAAACATACACGACACTTTTTACCAACAAAGGCTTAGCTATAACGGCTGTCATCTGAGAAAAAAACATGGTTTCAAAACAGCATTCTGAAATTCTGTTTGGATCAAGAAAGAAAAAAGTCAAAAAATACTTGTTTCTACTAAACCATAAACCAAAAAAAATGATCTCAACAAACTTAGAAGCAAGCAAGAGGCATATCTGAAAATATTTACATTTAAGATTTTTTCTTATGGAAAAGTTTTGTGGCATTTAAGAGAAAAGCAAAATGACAAATCACTCGGTAAGTCTACAGTTTTTAGAGAGGCTGAAACAATCCTTTCATTAGATGCCTTATCTTACGGGAAGGAGACCTGCTACATTGCACTCAACGGGAAGTATCATAATTTTCTATTAAACCTTATTTGCTGGTTCTGTGGGTATCCCTGAAGCAATTGATAATACTTTAATGTGACTTAGAGAACATACAACTTCACAGTACCTTATGGGATTGAAGAGGTTTATCCTTATTTAGAAAAAGACAACAAGAAAAAGAAATAACTATTATGGCCAGGAATTAAAAAAAAAGTGCTCTGCTGTAAGGGATCAGGGGATCAGTTTGTCAAAAACAAAACAAAACAAAACAAAACAAACAAACAAACAAACAAACAAAAAATGAAATGTTTGGTGAGTTGAGTTGAAAGTTAGGTGTCTACCTAAAACACAGGAGTTTAAAAGTGAGAATCAAGACATGAAAGAATGTATTTTCTGCAAGGGTGGCCTGCATCCCTGCCTGTCAGTGTCTGCAGCATCAGTAAGGACTTCAGCAAAGCAGGCATTTGTTTGAAGAATGTGTGAAAATGTTACCAGATTGCAGAGCAACACACAACAGCCCTTGTGCTGAACATGGAGCCCAGCTCTTCTTAGTTACTACAAATGACCTGGAGAATTTTTTATAACTGCTGCAGACATTGCTCAAAATATACATCCTATGATCTTGATTGTAACTGCACGAACCAGTAACTTGGTGCAACTTTGGCTTTGCCTTTTCCCTGGCTATGGACTGTTGTCCTGAACCCTTTCTGTTCCCATGTCTCAGCGAGTTAAAGAATCACTCACTGAGCACTGTTTCTACTGTAGACATTTTTAATATTTCTTTTCAGTTCCTCAGTTACTTTTTGTTTGTTTGTTTGTTTCACTTTTTGGATGGGTGGGGGGAATAAAAGTTACTTGATGATTAGGGAAATATATGAATACATAAAAACACATTCAACTCCAGACACAGCCTTAGCCCCAAATCCATTATCTTGGCTCTGCAAGAACCCAGATTACCTACAGCAGTTCCTGCTGGTCACTGGGGCTATGCAGTATTCATCTTCTCATTACATTTATTTCTATTGCTTACTTACAGACTAGTTGGAGCATCTCATTTTAATGATAAAATGGTGTGGTGGTTCAGGTGGCAGTCAGTGGCAGTGATGAGAAATCCAGCCCAGGAAACTGCTCCAGGAAAAGCTGCTTGGACCTAAGTGAAAAGAACAGATGCATTATGGCTAGTTGCTCATCCCATTTGAAGGCCAAGTTGTATTAGTGTATTAGTTTCATATTAGGTTATTCAAACTTATTTTTTTTTTATGTGCTACTTCCCTTTTGTCCAAGAGTTTGGGAAAAGGGGAATTATAATTTCACATACAATGTGTGGTCTGAGGCAGGATAAATACATGACTTGTGTGTGCATTTAAATCCATCACATCTCAGAACCTTCTCCAGCAGTAATGTTTAATATGGGCTTTAATACTGTGCTTCTGTTCTCTTAGAGGTGATTTAAAACCATGTCTGGAGTAAGTACACATTTAAGAATTGTTGTCCAGGGCACAGAAACTTCCTGATGGGCTTCAGAAGAAACCAAAAACTCCTAAGCAAAAATTAAAGTAATTGCTTATTATTGAAAATCACATAAACACCTTTGTGGCCAAAGCTCCTCTTTAAACCTCATCATCAGGACATATGTTGCTAATTTGCAAGGCTCATTTCAAAAATTTTAGGCATATTATTTATTTTTTTTCCATTTTCAAAATGTCGAAAACATTTATAACAGAGAAGCACTTCCTGTAAAGAAAAAAATGGGAAAAGGACTGCAAATTCGTTTTTAGTGCTTGTCAGAGCCTTCACATGGGTTTTAGTTTTGATTAAAAGAAAACAATGCACAATCACAGACCACAAAAACAGAAGTGACAATGCAGAAGATTTGGGCAACTGGAAATTTCATTTTTGATTACCAATTCCTGCCTTTTTCATTCATCTCCAATATGGTTTCAGAGAAATGCCTTCTTGAAAGTAGCTATATATTATAAGCTAATTAAATTTTAAAACTCTGGATTGGTGACATTTACAGGATATTTAACACTTTCCAAAACTGTGACGGTATTTATATTCCTGAATATAGTTTTAGGAGCCTAATTTCAAGTTTAAAAATACTGACTCATAGACTGCTCAAGATGTATGAGAAACATCCTTTAGAACATGCGTAAAATGACAAGAATAAAGGTGTTAGGCTAAAAACCTGGTCGAAGAAATAAAAACCCACCAGGAAGGCTGTTAATCTGCTCACGTAAAATTGCACCGAGCAGCCTGCAATCTCCTTATGTAAGGTTTCTAACCAAAGGATTTCTTGGGCTGCACAAACACTTACTGAGCTGGAATTGCAGCTCTGTGGTGGATTATCTGGGTAGACTGATGCTAGGCTATAACATACAGGCAATAGGGGGGGCAAACTTGGTTATTAACATTTTGTTATTGAATTAGGCAATTGTACTTTCAGAAAGTTCAGCATTTCTATTTGATGGAGTTCTCTAAATCCAAGAAACAGGGTGAAAATATCCCATGAATTGTATTTTCTGTGTTGACCCCTTTCAGAATGCTTGGTTCTTCTCATATGGACCTGAATTCAGGTGATAACAGAATATTTTTTATTTTTGACAATGTCAACAACAGCAACAAAACCAAAGCAAAACCCAAAGGAGTTAAAAAAAAAAGTGATTAAGATATTAACTGTACTGGTTGCAAGAAAAAAAAAAAAAAAAGGAAAAAAAAATAGTCTTTACAGTTATTCCAGCAGAAAACAAGGCAGACTCAAAGCTGTACTTCCTTAAAAAAATACCTCATGATTTGAACTTCTCTTCAGGATTTTAGAAATTTTGGGATATCTGGTATTTTTTTTGAAAACTTGAAACTCACACTACAATCTTTTTGGTGAATTTTCCATCACTTGGTTGGATTGAAGAAATTAGAAATGTACTGCTTTCCTAGGGCTTTTCAGCACCTCCTCCTTTCCACCCTCCTACAGATTAAAACATGGTATGATATACTAAGACTGGCCAAAAGAAAGAAAATGCAGAAGCATGTCTGAAAGCCTCAGGCTTTCAAACTGCAAGAGACAGGGATGAAAGCTGCAGACAAACGTGTACCCATGCTGTTAGAGGGTGTAGCCCCAAGCTTAAACGTAATGCCCAATTGAGAAATCTACCCTTAAACTTCAAAAGTCACAGGCTGCTGCCCTATGCCTCTTCCCTTGCTGAGTGACTACTGCATTTTTATTTAATGACATCATTATGTACCTTAACTGCAATTAAAGACCCTGTTCAGCCAATATACAGGAGCACTTTGAAGGGGCAAAACCCATGAGTACTCTTTTTATGTTAGGGCTTTTTTAAAAAATATATGGACATACAGAGTTGCCATGAAGTGTATCAGTGTTCTTTAGCATCCCAAATACAATGAAGAAGAATAAGTGCTGAAAAACCTCAGATTTAATTCTGTCTTCAGTAACTTTCCCTCTCCTATACATCCTCTGAGTATAGTTCCTGCAGGCCTTTATTCATGGGGACAATTCAGTAGCCCAGTGGTTTGCCAGTGGCCAGAATTCTGCATCAGGTAATGAATTGCTGGCCCTATTCTCATATAGGTGCCCTATCAAAGGTTTTCTCTCACTGATTTATGGAAATGACTCTTCCTCTGGAGATCCCTGCCTCAGGACACCTCTGGAAATACAACTGTAAGAGCTAGATATTGTAAAGATGGGGGCTAGGTACTCCAGCCTGATCTGAGAGGTTTTCCTGAACTCTGATATTTTCCATTTTCTGCATCTTCTGTACTGACATACATATCTCCCTACATTATTTCTATCCCTGACTAGTATTAATAGACTTCTATTTACTGACTGCCTTATGTCTATCACAGTGTATTGGGTTTATGTGACAAGGTTTTGGTGGCAGCGGAGCTGCAGGGGTGGCTTCTGTGAACAGAGCCCAGCAGCTGACCCTTTTCCATTGTATTTTCTCCCCTCTTCCTTTGAGGAAGGGGAGTAGGAAAGTGGTGTGGTGGAGTTTAGTTAGCCATTGGTGTGAAACCACCACATGCAGCCTCATTCATTCAAGACTGCCTATAAGTCTTCATCTTTCCCTAGCACCACAAATATTCCTCAAGGCAGTATGTGCCATACACACACATGTATGTCCAGGTGTGGCTGCAATGGCCCTGAGATATAGGAAAAAGTTAATGCTGTGGTCTGCAACACAATGTTGTATCAAGCTGCATTGCTCAAAAATAATTTCCCTTCTGCTTTAGTGCATATTTGTGAATTGTTTAACTCTGTTATTTTGATGGTCACCATTGTGAATTCAGCACTGCAGCAGATAAAGGTTTTTAACTTCACCTGAAAACCAAACCAATGTGGCTGGGGCTGTAAGAGCATCCTCTGCTATGTGGCTGAGGGAGGCTGGGGAAGCTGCAACCCCATTCAGCACTGTGTCACCACAGATCAATGCAAACTGAATGACCAAATAACTTTATAGTCTCTTTAGCTTCCTGGGTCTTTTATTTTAGATTGGGGTTGATGTGCTGTGCAAGAGCCAAACAACTAAAACTTCCATGCTTCCAAAAGAAGAGACAGAAGAGTGAAAAGAAATTGGGGAAATATTTCTATCACTGTTTTGTATAACTGGTTTCCAGCATCTTTCAAATCTTCTGGTGTCCCTTTAAGAATGCTCTTATCTTGGTTCGTAAAAGCCGGTAGCATTAAAAATACAGTAATTAACATGTTCATAATGTAAATGCTAATCATTTAACATGTCAAGCATCTTCATCCCCTACTGAATCAATATGAATTATTAAAACAGACTCTTTAAGACCTTTAAAATCAACTCTCAAAGCATGCACTAAACAACCACACCGTTGGCATACGAGAGCACCAAGTTACAAATTCATGTGTTAGACTGTCTGACACACTCGTTCTCTTTGATGAGAAAAAACAAAGAAAAATACCTCCCCCCAGAATCTTATATTCAGAACTACGTAATCTGTATGCATAAGTGTATTAGATTTTTTCTCAGAGGTTTTGTAAATCTTTTTTTGTTGTTGTCTGTTTATTTTTTATTTATTTTTATGCAGTTATTGAATTAAGTAATAAGCCGTATAGAGTGGAGGAAAAAAAAAAAAGAGAGAGAGAGAGAACTAACTTATTCAGGATAAGCAATGTTTTTCTGAAACAAAACTGCAAGATGGTCCCAAAAGATCTTGAAACAATAAATGCATAAAATCAATAACAAACAAATATAATAAAGTAATAACAAGTAACAATAAAGTAATTACAAGTAGGGTAAAAGCTGAAGTACCTATCTTTAAAAAAAATTGTCAAAATTTTTAGTGGTCATGAAGAATTCTGTATGCACATTTGGAAATTTATTTTTAATATTACAAATAAACACTAACTCTTAAAATCAAATTTATTTCCATCTTTAATGCAGAAAGGACAAGAAAATGTTTCACATTTTCAAATGTCTGCAAATTAGAGATGAAATTATTAGACATGCATCTTACCTCAGAGCCAGCTTACTAGATGTTTCAAGAGAGTCATGAAGTAGCTTTTGTGAATTTATATATGTGTGCAGACAAACATCTGCATGAGATGGCTGTTTCTTGTTCAACCCATTGAAATAAGATAACAAACATTATTTTTTGCTGTTGTTGCTTCTGTTAAAGATATGAAATAAATGAAGTTTTGCAATCAGATACAAGCAATCACATAAAGAGTGGATTTCAAATACTTTCATATCAGATTGCACGATGCTGGTGTTAACATCTTGTTCTACGTGAACAATCAGATAACAGCCTGGATGTTAATAAGCCAGAGGTTGTTCTTGCTTTGCGAAAATCTTCTATGCCCATTAAGTTAATTGATAGGCATTTTTCACAATGCCACAGTACTTTGCTACAACTATCTGGATTCAGATATCAGATATATCAGATTTTCTGTATCTGGATCTATCTGATTTCAGATATAAGTTGAAGTTCTACCTGGGCAATCCTAAATCTTTATTGTGAGAAAGGAGGAAATTCATTATAGCATGGTTAAAATTTTACAAACTTTGTGTACTTAGAAATAATGTATGAGGGCTTACACATCTGATTGGAGATAGGAGCTCACGCATCTTGCTTTCCTAGCATGAAAAATACATCTTGACCTCCCACCACCCTCAACTAGGAAAAAGTTCAGTATACTTCATGCTTGTAGATAGCAAAAATTATAGTCAAAGTGTAACTAGAAGGAGGAGAACTTCAGATCTGAGACAAAATAAGTCAGCTGCAGTTAGGAAGGCTTTTCATGCTTGTGTCAAGAAGCAGCTACATTATGTTTGGTGGGCATATCTTCCTGCTAACCTCTCAGTAAAAATTCTTTTCACAACAGGCTGTGAAACAGGCATGATAGATGTGAACATGTTCTACTAGTTTCTAAATCATCTAATGATTTAGAAATGTTGATTTTTTGGCCTCTTCTTGCAGATAACTAGCTATATGGCAAGAAGAAATAGCCTCAAGTTGAGCCAGGGGAGGTTCATGTCAGAAATTAGGAGAAATTTATTCTCACAAGGAGTCATTAAGCATTGGAAGAGGTTGCCCAGGGAGTTGGTGGAGTCACTGTCCCTGGGGGTGTTCAAGGAAAGGCTGGACCTGGTGCTTAGTGACATGGCTTAGTGGGTGACATTGGTGGTAAAGGGATGGTGGGACCAGGTGATCCTGGAAGTCTTTTCCAATCTTAATGACTCTATGATTCTAATGAAAGACCTCCAAAGAGCTCTTGCATTTCCCACAATGTTTGGAAAGGCTACACAGGTTACCAGACTGATGTGGGTGCTTGGAGCTCTAATATCTGCCTCTGAAAATAAATACAGTCAGACTTCCAAACTCTTTAATAGGTGGGGCAGCTGAAACAAAAATCTTGGTAGATTTTCCTAGTTAAATACTCAAAACCTGAATGTAAAATTTTGTTTTGTTTTGTTTTGTTTTGTTTTGTTTTTGGTGCTTGTTGATTTTTGAATATTCCTGGAGTTAGATATCCAGAGTCAAAATTATAGTATGAATACAAACAGAATCACAATGCAATTAGGTTTTACAAGATATTAGTTGAATTGCAATTTCACAACACAAAGCAAACTATAATACTACTAAACTATAATACTATAACCTATAATACTACTAATACTAAGCAAACACTAGGCAAAAATATTATTGCAGCAGCTAGGGAAAATTGGTAAATCAACCACAACAGGAAAGACTGGGACTGGCAAATGTGAACTTCCCTGACTGTGAGCAGTGCCAAGAGCTATGATCAAACTGGACTTGGATTTTCTTCAGTGGTAGGACAGTGGTCCAGGAGAGAGAAGGTGAGGCTGAAGCCATAAAGGGGTAGGAAGAAGAGGACAGAATAGAAAGCAAGCAGATACAACTGAGTTGTGATGAGATTACTTGATCATGCATAACCCTAAACTGAGTGTCTTTAATATAAGGAATTATTCTTTAGGGAAAGGAATACTGGGAAACAGAACATATTGTTAATTTAAAGTCCATATTATTTCCCTTCAAGATTTAGCTTTTAAAAATATGTGTTTTTATTTTAAAACAATGGTAATTTGTTCATTATCAGTTGAGGAAATTGGAGGTAAGGTACAGACCATGGCTATATCTGAAGCAAATAAAGTATCAAGACACGGCATTAATATACAAGCCAGCTTGATATTGTCCAGGTTTAGCTTCTATACTATGCAAAGAGGGTACCAGGAAAAAACCTCTAGAATCTGCCTTATAACACCCTGCCAGCTTTGAGTATCTACTGACTTAGAAGAGATACAGCCAGTAGTTTGACATTTCTGCAGGAAAGTTATGGTGAGTGACATCTCTATTAGAGCTGCAGACATGGTGAAGTATACAGTATCTGCAGTGACAAACTATCTGCTGAGAAGAAAAATCATGGGCTTGTCATGTATATCTGATCCTCTAATTACACATACTTATGCAGACAGTGTAAAAGAAAGAACTACTCCATCAGAAAATGCTTCCATCAGGAGTAGGCTTTCAAACCCCTGCAGGTCCATCCTTTTTAAGGTATGACATCATTGTATATATCCCAGAGATTAATTCACACAAAGGTCTGGTGTTCTTAGGGACGGGATATTGAAAAGAGGGACAGGGAAAGTGAGTGAGGTCACACAGCAGTTTGTTTAGTGAAGACTAGAAAAAAAAAGCTAAAGACAGCATCCTTCAAGCCTGGCCACAGATCCAAAATCAGGATTATCTCACTGGGGCAGCTAAGAAGCTGGTAAATTTGCCTTTCAGATGTCTTACTTCTGGCTGCTGTAGAACTTTTGATCTCATCTACCCTGAAGTCTATTGCCACCCAAAGGAGACCTGTCACATCAGAAATCAACCTGACTTTATACCCTACTTCTTTTCAAGATCCTGTGCACAAATTTGGCCAGCATCAGATACAACTGACTTCACAGAACAGACACAAATAAGACTTGAATTCAAGATGAAAACCCATTTTAATTCCTGTATTATGGTGAATAAAAGAAATCTAATTTTATATAGAAAGGGGATATTCATCATGTATTTCACATCAACTATGAAGCCAGGTTATTAATTTTGGTGAGAAAAAAAATGCAGTAAGAACTATGTATTGCGGAATTCTCTGCCTCAGAGGCCCAAAGAGTCTCCATCTCATCAAATGTCATCATTCCCATGAGCTCTTTCAGTAAGTGACATGCAAGCCAAGATGCGTTCCTTGATTTGATGATATCCATGCCATGGAAAAATTATATGGACAAGATCTTTCTATCATCCATCATTCCTGATATAGGGAGAATATGTGCCATTTTTGAGAAACACTGAAAGTTGTTATAAAGCTTGGGACAGAAAGACTGACAGACTGGTGGCTGCATTTACACATTCTGAAAAAGGAGTTAGACTGCTGCAATATAACAAGAGGGTATCATTCTTGCATGAAACCATGCCTGGGCAGGATTCCTTAGGTCTCTTCCTGGGGATTAGGGATTTTAGATCACATGTGAAAAGAAAACTTAAATCCTCAAATCCTTCATAAGCTCCTTGACTTTTATTATTATTATTATTATTATTATTATTATTATTATTATTATTATTATTATTATTGTTGTTGTTGTTGTTGTTGTTGTTGTTGTTGTTGTTGTTGTTTGTTGTTGTTGTTGTTGTTGTTGTTGTTGTTGTTGTTGTTATTGTTATTATTATTATTATTATTATTATTATTATTATTGTTATTATTGTTATTATTGTTATTATTGTTATTATATCTCTTTCCCAATCAAAGTTAATCCCTGTATTATTTACTTTCTTAGCAGCAAGAGTCTAGTCCTCTATTTCTGCAGAAGGACCAGGCTGTAGATATCACATGGCTCCTCTCAGGCTCAATCTGAAAAGAAATAAGCCAACAACGCTGACCTATGACAGGGTGCAAGACACACTCCAGACAGCAGAAGGGCTGTCCAGTGAGGACAGCCTTGGGGGCAATTTTCAGTGACTTCAACAAATGTGTGGTCCTTTAGAGCACATGTGGTCTGAATACTCTGAACCTCTGGGCTGTCATGACTGTATCCTTGTCCAAATCCCCCACAGCCAGGGCTGTAGCTGCAGCAGTAAGTGTTGTACAGTGTGGGCCACAGGAAGCCAAGTGAGGTGGGTCACACTGAGACCCGGATTAGAAGTTCATTGTGGACAGGGAAAACAAACAAAATACACACATCCATTTCTTTCATGCCCAGTTGCCTGGGCTGAATGCAGCAGCGAGAGACTTTGGGGAAGGCTGCATGCAGTAGAGGAAAGTGCAGGTTTCTCAGTTCTGCAGGCAGAGAGGCAGCTCTGAACCGGAAGAAATGTAACACGCTGATATTCCTGTGCCTCCTGTGAGAAGGATTCCTGCATTCTCTATAAAACAAAGTGAAACAATGTGCATTGTGGGATCAGTAGACAGGGCCAAGAGACATTAAATACCTCCTCCTGCCTCCCAGCAACAGGGTCCTTGCAGCAAGGGATCATCTCCAAATCACTGCCCCTGCGAGGGAAACGCTCCACGCATCCCTCCCTTCATGTCCTTCTTTCTGTGGAAATACTGCTATTTAAAGGAGGGTAGTTGGCATTAAACAAACTTGTTCTGCACTTGCTGTGACAAGGTTTTATCCACCTGGCTTGCTATTTCTCATGCAATTTTCTACCTGCCCTGTGTCTAAATTTAAAGACTTTAACACACGTCTTACAGCTAAGCAGTAGCCTAAATGTATGAACACAAAGTTAACGGGTCTCTGGCTTTCAGCAGCTTCACAGTGGCCCTCCTGACCTTGCAATTCCTCTTCCAGAACTGAAATCCTTTTGCTGAAATATGAGCCTTAAAAACATGGGGCTTAGCACAGCAACAGAAGAACAGCCTGCTTTTCTGGGAGTCACCCATGAGTGTGCATTTCAGTATTGCTCAGTGATTTTTCAGCTGAAAATAGTAGGCAAAAGTAGTATCAATATAGGGAGGGTGAATAAAAAACCTTTCTTTTCCATATGAAAGATCAATACAAATATTGCCTCCTTATGCCACATGAATAGAAATTAAATATGTATGGTGATTGAAATGGGCTTTGCTAAAACATGGCAGTGAACTAA